CACCGGCTAATCTGGTGCGCGTTGCTGTTTATTTTTTCTAAACATGCATGGGCGAAAGGCCATATCTTTGCGCTCAGACGCTCAGTGTTGCTGCTATTTTGCAAGATAAATCCGTACGCGCATTTCGAGATTTTTACCGGTCGGAAGTTTTGGAAAATAATAGGCAATATTTTTGCAGTGGCAAGAGAAACGAGGAAGAGCCTGTGAGGAAGACTTTCGGGATCGTCGAGAAGAAATGTCCACTGAACAGCTAGAGGTTAGTGATGCGCTTTTGTATTGCTGTTTTGCAGAATGGGGCCGGTGTAGTCGCGCTAGTCGCCCCAGCAATTTGTTTCGTCTTGAATTCTTAACGTCCGCACTTCCTGTACCCATGAGAACGATGTGCCGGATTTGGGAGCGGGAAGGCGAGTTGATTAAAGTGTTCTTTTTAGGACAAAGGATATCACTGCGACACGTGAGAACAAAGTTCGGTGTCTGAATACGTTTTTGCTTATGTACAAATTGCAGCTACGAGTATTTCAACGTCTCTATCTCTTGTATATTTGTATGTGTGTGTGTGTGCCCAGATATTTCAACTCGGCAACCAAGCAAGTTCCGGCGCCAAAATTTTGCAAGTTGGTTCCCCGGCTAAGTGCCCCCCCCCCGGACCGCGGTACCAACCCCTACGCACGTCTAGGCCCCGCGTGCAAGCGCATGAAACTTTTGTTGGGAAGATCACTAACTCGGGAACCAAAAAAGTTAGAAAGCTGAAACTGTGCGGTAATGTTTCTTGTCCACATAGAACTCAAAGATTTTCAACTCCCAGATGTGTATGGTTCCCGCGTATGACCCTGAGGGGGTTCCTGGCAGGAAAGACGTTAACTTAGGAAACAGAAGAGCTAGGAGTCTGAAATTTTGAGGAGATGTTCCCAGCCCATGTGCAACTTAAATTTATCAAATTCAGCCTCCAGGCTTGCCGCCAGGTCACATGCGGCCTCATGAAAATTTGAGCGGGAAGATTTCTGACTCGGGAACCAGAAAAGCTGGAAAGATGAAATTTTAGAAGAATATTCCCCGTCCAAATGAAACATAAAGATTTCAAATTCAGTCTTCAGGTACGCGTGGTTCTT